ATGAACTTCCTCCTGCTGTTTTCAAAGATGGTAGTCAGTCACTTGTTTAGGAGTTACCTTTTCTCCTCCAAGAGATCTGGGTCACTGAAGTTATCCCATCTGATTGGAACCTAGCGGATATCATACCCCTCTTCAAAAAGCGTACCCGAACTGACTGCTCCAGCCACAGAGGGATTAGTCTCAAATGGGTCGCTTCCAAGGTGCTCACAGCTCTGCTTCTAAGGAGGCTCAGCTTGGTAAGCGAACAGAGCAAACTTAAAAAGCAAGCTGGGTTCCGCTCAGGTCGGAGTTGCATCGAGCACATTTTTACACTGCACCAAATAATCGAGCGTTATCAAACATTCGGCCAGCCAGTGATTGGTGTCTTCTTAGACATACGAGCCGAGTTTGACTCAGTCGACACAGCTGCCCTCTGGAGATGTATATTGAGAATAGGAGTGCCGAAGACGTATGTCACCTTACCTCAGACCACCTGCTCTCCAACCTCGGGCCGAGTGCGGGTGCACGGTGGACATTCCCTCTCCCCTTTGGTATCACCAGTAGCGTGAGACGGATTAGATCAGCGTCTTTCTACTTGTTCAGTTTTGCTATGGACATAATCTTGAAGAGTGCTCTGGAGAGCAGCGGACCTACCGGCACCCAGCTATTTCCGGGGGACCAAGTTTGTGATTTGGAGTATGCAGACGACATCGCCGTAACCTGCGATTCCTCAAAGGCCGCCCAAAACGTTCTGTGCGGATTGGAGGCGTTTGTCTTTAAGTTTGGAATGACTTTCGTACCATCGAAATGCAAGGTGTTTTTGCAGGTCTGGCTAGGCGCTGCTCACATCCTTATCCGTTCAGGTCATTTATTGGAAGTGGTAGACAAGTTCGTTTATCTCGGTAGCTGCCTCAGCGTCAATGGTTCAACGGATTAGGTTTCTTTGCTCGTTTGCAGGTCTCGGGTTGCTTTTGCCGTTCCCCACCATCTCTGGCCTCAAAGTAATCTTAGTCCGTCTCTTAAGGGCCGAATATACATTGCCACATTGAGAGTGGTCCTGCTGTATGGCTGCGAGATTTGGACCATCCGCGCAAATAATATTGGGAGGCCTTGCTAATTTTGATCACCGCTGCCTTCGGAGCATTCTGGTGTACCATGGTAACATCCCATTAGTAATGAAGATGTCCGACGGAGGATTTTCAGGTCAGAGCAAGTTTGACGGTCATTGAGCAGCAAAATCTCTCTGTGCAGAGTTCAGTGGCTTGGGCAAGTTCTTCGCATGTCTACTCCTCGCCGTCTTCATCCTGCCCTCTTCGCACGCGCAGAAGTAGGCCGGAAGCGAAAGCAAGGTGTCCAACGTATGAATTTGGGAAGAGCATGCAGGAGCTAACGTCAAAGTTAGCTGTGGTCGGGCGCTCAAGGCTCCATGGCTGGAGCATGAAGGATGCGGAATACGCATGGCTGGAAACACTCACGGATTTGGCAAGAAAACATGCGTAATAGCTGACCTGTTGTGACTCTCTACCCTCATGAACACCAATTATTTTCCCTCTTTCTTCGGATGTTTATTGTATTTCCATACGTTGTGGCACTATGCCTATGGTACTTTTGGCCGTGTTGTATATATATATATATATATATATATATATATATATATACATATATATATATGCTCCATGTTGCTATACATAGGTCATACAGCTATATTTTCATCGCTTGAAACATTAATATGCACGTGCTGAAACACTAGCAACGGTTAGCACGCAATTTAATGACTGCTTGCAAGATCTAATTTCCAGGTATCTTCTGTAAACCACGTTAACTATTCCACCAGATTCCGAACTGCGAGCAGACCATCGATGCTTGATTTTACGCTCACCAACAAATAACCCATGATCGACGGAATAGTTACCAGTACCCTCTTAGGTTACAATAACCATGTTACTCTATAGTTTGACTATAAATGCTGTTATATATTCTGAAGAAGAGGATGCTAAAGTGTATACTGGTAGGCACATCAGCGCGCTACCCGCGCTTGTTAATGATACTTTTTGGACTTACTGAACCGAATATCGCCCAGGACACGTTTTGAAAATGTTCCCAAGAAAATTAGCACACTGGTATCACACGCATCGGAACAGAACTCTTTCATTTATAAAGAGCAGTACACATAAATGCATGTCCTTGATGGGGTTGACATAAAGAGGTCACTAGGGCTCATCGAATTACAAAAACTGGGCTGCACACGTAGCATAGCGAAACATCTGCATAAACCTGATCCGCGAGGATAAGACGAAGCATCAGCATAAATTAATAAAGCGATTCTGCACGAACCGCAAACTCCCTTACAGGCATGTCAATGGCCTTCGTAAGGTGCGTTGCGAAATTCCAGCGCTGGTCACGACTGACGGGTGCACGCGATCAGTAACGGAAACAGCCAATCTCTGTGGTTTCATCGCCTACATACTTTCCGAAGAGTAACGGGCCTAGTAATTATCCCTGTTTTTATTTTCATACCGTCGGGTTTATCCAACATAACGTTGCTGCAGAAGCCGTATTAAGGAAGCGGTTATCTCTCCGAAACCACATTTTACCTGTAGGGAAGCGAGGCTCATCACTCTACTTCTTATGTGGAATAGCTGTATTGACGCTACCAATTACTGTCCGATAGCGCTGCTTCTTGTGCTTGCAGAACTTATACAACCAGTTGTCGCAGATACATTTATGAAGAATATGGAAAACCAGTGGACAATAGCCGCGGAGCTACGTTGCTTCCGACAAAACCTCTCATGCACTGCGAACATGGTTACTGCACCTAATATTTGGACGGAAGCAGTTGATGGTGGAGCATGAGACGATGTCATATTCACAGATTCCTCGAGGCCTTTAATCTTTGGACCACCATCTTCTCTATGTACTTCAGATCCATGGAATTGGTGACCCGCTACTGCGTTAGTTAGGCTCTTTACTGCACGAACGTCGTTTGGATCTGAGAGTATGAGAATCCCCGTCCGAAGCAATCGATGTGATATGCGGTGTAGCCCAAGGCTCGGTGCTGGGCTTCATCTATTTTTTGTTTTCCTAGACGATCTAGCAAAGTCAAATACTGGCAATTTTCTATTCATTGCGGATGATATCGAGATTTGGAGATCTATCAGGGAACCGGACGACAACGAGGAACTCCAGCGTGACCTAAACACGCCTCCGAACTGGTCAGTTTAAGATACGTTACTTTTCGATGTAGACAACTCTCACAATGTTCAATTGCGCCAAATCCATGCCTGCATGTATTGACTTGAGTCACACATATTGCAAATAAATTTCCAAAACGAGACCTTGTTGTGTCTCTTCAGTGTGATCTTGACTGTTCGAAACAGTTTGAAGCAGCTACGTAAGGAGGCATTTTGGATTTTTGACTCATCAATATTCTCAATGATGGACAACTGTTAGGTACGCACTCTCGTTGTAGACGCCAAGCAACTTTGGTAACCTTGGTCGAAGCGCGACCTGGAGATGCTAGACATTGCCTTGCAGGGATAAAAAAGAATGTCAATGGTCTACGTAATCTTTCTTACTATCAAAGGTTGGAATCTCTGGAAGTTTTTAGCGGACGCTACCGAAGGCTACACGACGTTCTCTTGTTGATGCACCAAATATCGTGTGATGCTATTCACGACTGCCACCACTTGCTGGACATCCGTCTTAATACCAAACTCAGATTTAACTACTTGAAACTAAGTGAACAACACAGCCGTGTAGAACGCCGACAAAATCTTTTTTTCCCCGCGGGTTTACCAACACTGTAACTCTCCCACAAACTCAGTGGTTTCTTATATAATGATAGCATCCGAAGGGCGATTTGGTGTAGTCCTTCACGCACCTCACTTTTTGTCTAAGCTATGCTACTTTGGGATATAGGAATCATGTCTTCTGCGTGATTTATATGTCTGGATGACCTAAGGAAGTGGTACACGCGTACGTATTCGTTCTTAATTTTCTCACGGAGTACGTCAGCTATAAATGCCCCCCAAGATGACCTGTTTGCTTACATTCGGTTCTCATTTTACACTGCAGTTAAGCAGCAAGGTATTTGATTGATAGAAGCTTAAACAAAATACACACATATCATGTGATCTAGTACGTTAGTTCCTGCCATCGTCTGGAACTTCTTAAGCAACTGCTACTGCAACTGCTGGCGAGTCATTTTTCCTTCTTATATGATGATCACTTACAGTGGGAAATAATTAATCTGCCCTGATTTTCGTTGCGCTGATAAACATAGCTGACTCGATGATTAACTCACTCATCTAGTTAACTGGCGGCACGGAGTAAGAGACCCTGCACTATTCCCATACCTCCGGGTGGAAATACATTAGAACTGTGTATCCTTCTTTCGGGAACAACGAACTCAGACTTGGTACTTTTCTGTTTTCTGTGTTTCCAGTTTTTTGGTGGTATTACTGCCAATAAACAATCATGAAAAATCGAAAATTCACAGCTTCTAAATATATGCAGCAAACATAGACATTTACTACAACTGCATCCATGGCATTAATGTCAAGCGAGCTTCTCGAAAACCGAAATTGTTCGCAGATCATAAATATGCTCCTACAAGTTCATTTTTATCCCCTTCCATCTCAAATTAATAGGAAGTTGACTTGTGAACATAACTATACAGTGGATGGAGATTTTCATACGTGTGGTGAGGGATTTATTAATGCATACTTTCAAACACCTCAGGCTCCAAAACTATGTCCGCTAAAAAACGACCTTCTTTTTAATTTCAAACATGATCCCTAATCTAAACTTTCTTCTTGAGGTCCATAAACCCTGCCCCAGTGGAGTGACGAGGTTATAGCTTACCAAACATACGTGCTTCATAACCACGTATTCTTTCGCAATCACATGACAGGCTAGGTTAAATTCTTTTCTTAACGTGGACCAAAGACCATACGAACTAACACTGACTGATCATCAGAATTCCTCTACGGGTCACCTGGGTGTGATATTAAATTGCTTGATTTATTACTTCTTCAAACTTATATTTTGCAAGGGAGAATAAAAGAATATTAGAGCGAATGTGGTAGCACAAAGGCGAAGAATTTTTATCTTAGGCAGTTACATCGGAATAGAAGAAGTGCATGGGAGGAAGACACAAGTGGCCAGGAAAACTCTTTCTTCCGACGAATTAGAGTGCAATTGAAAATACAGTCATCACACAATGCATTGTCTTGTTCTCCCATCTGACGGTGCATGTGCCTGAAAAGCAGAAGCATAAATTAGCGATGGAAACGGAAAGATACACCTTGTAGCTCACTTAGAATTTCTCCTGCTTCAATGCTGTATTCGGCAGAGAACACGAAATAGTGCTAGACACAACGTACTACTTTACTGGAGTGCCGTTTATATAGCAGACAGAATTCATCTGAAGTGAGTCAGCTAGGCGACGATCCTGTTATCATCGACCAACACTCCGCATGACAACCAGTGCCTCCGATAAGATACACGATAGACTAAGTTCCGTTGGTCAAGATTTTGTTAATTTTCGCTGAATCAACATAACTCTCGAGGTGTTCGATTCTGTCTAAGTTCTTGCTCTATCCGTCGTACAGCCACTGTCATCGTGCGACATATTGGAACCGAATCAGTTTTGCATAACATAACAATAGCGGTCAGTTGGATTGATCCGGTTGGTGCTATAGTTGCAAACGTTACGAACCTGTATCCGACTGATGAACAGCCCTGTAACCTAAGGTCCTTCGTTCGATAAGCACGTCAGTTTCTAATGAATTTTCACCTCTCTTGGGGAGCATTTCCATTTCTACTTCACTTAAGGGATTCCTTGTTAACATATTGTTTTGGCTATGCTAAAAGGTTGCTTCTCGGTTTTTAAGTCGACGGGTTAGACCCGAATTTGCATAAGTTGTTAATAGAAAGTCCCTCTTAAATATATCTCTGTTGGATAGAATTCGATCTTCAGAACTTAACTTTCCTTCTAACGCTGACGATCTGAACAAATACATTTATATATGTAACTGCATATTTACAAGTTATTCAACATCGCAACAAACATACAGTTGGTGGCTTCCGGTTCCGGATTCGCCTGTCACTGCGGCTTCCATGGGAAAGTCGCAGGACGCATGTGTATACAGAGGGACCATGGGTGGCTTACATTGCACCACCCTCAGCTCCATCCCCACACCCCATTTTCAGTGTAAATCCGAAGGAATAAGACCAGATGGCATGGGGATGACACGGACGTTTCCTCAAAGCAGACAGCCCACACCCTTCAATATGCATAAGCAGCAGCATTCGTCTATCTACGTGGGGAATCATGCGTAGCGCACGTACACAAGGCGGTGGCTGGGCCGTTGTCCGCTCCATACTGGATGGGACCAATATTTAGACTAGCGATTCTTATTCTCCTGGAGGCAATACTATCGAGAAAGTGGTTTTTTGACAGGTAGACACTTTTTCAACATTCACATCCAGCGCAGCCAGAATTAGGGTATCAAAAAACCAACACCCAACTCAGAGGCAAATAACCAACAAAATTGACAAGGAATATGCAGCAGAATAACATATCTGGAAAATAAAACAGACTGAAATATATTTTATCCAGATTAAGAAGAGCTGGTTAAAGCACAAATGTAAATATGTGCAATCCAATTACGGGTGAAGAAGCCAGATGTATGCAACATCAACCTCAGCACGGGGTACCACGTGAATTCGAAAGAATACGAGTAAAAATAAGCATGCAAACTTAAAAACGAGTGTGCGGCAGAATGCTAAAAATAGGCAAATAAGTAATATATGGATTCTGTTCTACTGTTAAGGGGATCTTTGGCAACTCTATGTGTAAATTAGGGGAAATAAGCCGAACAACAACGAAGCTGCAAGAAAAAAGGGAAATAAATAACGAAAATTTTGACAATTAAACGAACTGAGTAAATCAGATAACGTGGGTTCAGCCAGAATCAGTGCAATGCGGAATAACATTTTTTGTTTACTATTCCAGCCAGACAGCGAGGAAAAGGCGTCGCAGATTTGTATATATAGATATATATATACATATATATATTAAGAGAGGAAGAACGAACAGCATTTATGCGGGATAACCTGAATTCAGCTTTTTTTGGTGTCTTCTCATTCTGCTACTTACAAACAAATCGTGGAAAGAGTAAAGGAATACAATCGAAAAAGAGGGTCAATAGGAAAATAAATAAAACACTGAGAAAAGCAAGGTCACTGCCTGCGCCTTACCAGGGCAAGGCACGACTTGCCATAAGGTCTACCAGTTTGCAAAGTTTTGGTTTCATTCGTCGCATGGCCGAGGCTTCAGCGAAACCAATCGGCTGAATATGAAGACACGAAATAATCTGAATTCAGGTTATCCCGCATAAATACTGTTCGTTCTTACACTTAAAATTTCTGAAGGGAAATGGCTGCGTGAGATATATATATGTATATATATATATATATTTAGATACCTTATGACGTTTCTTCATCGCAAGTTGACTAGTATACTAAACAATTAATCTTATTGCGTATATATATATATATATATATATTTAGAGTTCAATCACAAGTTAAGCAAGCTTCCGGGATACGTCTGTCCATTCAACTCCTGCACTAAACTAGTACACATTCTTGAAACTTTCTCCAAGTTCCTCATCTCTCGGATAAGAGGACAAGCTTGGATACAGCATTTCAAATGCAGTTACACAAAAGCCGAGAATAACATCACAAACTCTTCGGCCCCTAATATTTCGAGTGTGGGACGAATAAACCACATCACACGAGACCTCCTACAAGCAGCCGTTTTTCGAATTCTCTTCAGATGGAGTCATTGCAGCGGTAACTCATTGGTTGGACTGCCAAATTATCGCGTCTTTTGGGTGAAATATCGCAGATATCGGTATTTGAATAAGCCTTGGGAACAGCATTTGGCTTTGTCAAATTCCACCTCGGATGCAATTTAACTTAGAAATTGATTTCTTTATGGACACGAGAGAAAGGATGATATCAACTTGTTTTGGTCGTCGCAAACGAGTCACCTCCCACTCAAAGGCTGTGCAATGCAAGACCTGCGATGGCTGGCTGCATATTACTAGCTGCAGTATCGAAGCCGACATGTTTGAGCTATTTTAACGGACAGTATCCTCATTTCTCTTCTTCGTTTGTGACACATAGCAGGCTGATGAGTGGGACAAGAGAAATGAAATTTGCTCAAACCTGCTCAGCCTCGTGGAAACGCACCAGAAACAGGGTCTGACCTCCGCCTGCTACTTGCTGTGTCCAGCTTGGCGACTGAGAACATAATCCGTAGTCGGTACTCCTCCCATTCATTGTCTTAGACATGGATACCCAGGGAACTTACCATTCAGTACAAGAAGAAATCCTACGCTGCCATTTTGCGCCAAAGCACGATGCCAGCGACAGTCTAGATACAGCTGCGAGTTATGGCCAAGTATGCAAGGCCGCAAAGGCCGACCTTGGTAAGTATACTTCACGCTCCTGATTGAAACTCGATCTGGATAGAATGAATCAGTTGAGAAACTTGGTCAGATCGCAAACTTACTCCACATCAGACTACTATCAAAGGGTACAGACCTCCTTGTCAGCGGTGTGTGATTACCGTCAATGCGCCACAGGCTGATTTGTAAGCTCCATCAATGACGATATCGAACGACCAGGCATTTCTATGCGTCCTGGTTTCTATGTTGTTTGATAATGAGGGACTTGGGATCCACCTTGTTTACACCTTTTGCCTCATACGTTTGCCCCTTAAAATAATACGTCAATGTGAGACGACTGCCGACGCATCCTCAAACGGACCTCGTGGCTCAACAGGGAAACATGTTTTATCCTGAGGAATATCTGTCCGGAAGACAGTGTTAAAAAGAAGATAACAGCCGAACAGCTTAGAACTCGACTAGCAGAAGTTGAAATAGACACATCATGAATGTTCGTACTATGCAGAGTACTTCCACATCTGCATGGTTTCAGTTCTTTGTCCTACCCAGATGGTAAAAGCAGGTCCAACACATGGACTGCAGATGATGTCTGACAATGTTCCTAGCATGAAAAGAAATTGGACGAGATTCCTACTCTTAGCTCGGAAACTTACCTAGACGTTCTAAATTTCACTAAGTCCTGGCTAACTCCACAAACACCTGATGAGGAAATTCATCTCACAGGAGGTAACTTTCCTCGGGCAAATTGTCATGAGAAGAAGAATGAGTCCGCGTTATATTTTACTGGAGATTTGGTGATAAGCCTTCAAGGTAGGCCCTGTAGAGACCATTAAAGACGGCAGTTCAGAAATGCTGTAAAATAGGGTACATAACCGATGCAAGCCCCTCACTAGTAGGGAAGTGGTCAAAACCCAGTTGACTAACAGTGCCCATGTTCTACACGCAGTCAAAACTTAGGGGAGACCAAGAGCTGTATACTTCTGAGGGATTTCAATGTACTAATCCTTATTGCTGCACTGCTTGGTGCAATCCTTGAAGATAATCTAATACCGCATGTCTCCATGCCTACCAGTATATTCTTTGCTCAGCTATGACACATCCTCCATCCTGCGCTGACATCATACACTATGTGATCTCTCCGATCTGACCACTCTCCCACCAATTGTCTATAGTGATCACAGCACTCTTTTTTCACGTGTATACCGCGCTTAGCTATTCACAACCGAGGAGTCTGTTGTCCGAATTTCCGAGACATCAATCCGTCTTGCCTAAGTACGGTGACAAGCACATAGGACTGAACCATCCCTGAAGACATGAATGTTTATGATGCCTGGAAGCCGCTAGGTTCCAAAATGAACCTGGTCATTGGGCACGTTGCACCAAACTCCAGAAAGGAACCCAGTCCATATCAATGCCCTTTGGGTTGATCGAAAACCGCGGCTGTTCATTGGTCAGTGGAGGAAACTCTAAGACAGTTTGAAGTCCTCTCAACTGGTCATGAATTACTCGAATTAAAAAGCGCTTAGGAACCTGTGCTACCAGGAAAAGCGTAAGAATGTGCGACAGTACTAACCAAGTCTAACCGAAAATTTTTTATCTGGACACAAAAATTATACCTATATCTTAACAAAACAACCAAAGTAAGATGACGCATACCCGCTTTGGTATCCAGCATGACAGGTTCCGCACTCTATGAAGACGACTAGGAAGCGCGTTTTCAAGCCCGGAACTACTTATGTTCACACGATATTAACTCAGGTTACCGATAAACTTGCAACCTTA